GTCCGCGGTATCACTTCCTCCCTCCACAGAGATGTGGTGACACAGTCCCATCAAGTCCAAATGGAATCACCAATGAATATAGGAAAAAAGATGATGGATGTTTTGGCCAACCGATATGATTGGAGAAGGTGACATAGTCAATAATATTTGATCTACCACATGTGCATCCAAATAATTAAAGGGGCAGTTAGCCTAAAGCATCCTAATTGGTTGAACTTAATCACACTTGACTCTAGGGGAGGGTGTTTATGCTATTTAAAGATGGCAGATTTCTGAGACTAACAGCTGACTGAAGAAGCTCAGAGGAGAGTGAAACGCGTTTTATCGATTTCATTGACATACTACAGCATATCGGTTTCTTTCTCTTTATCCTATTGGAAGATATATCTCATGAAGGAGTGGTGTGATGCTGCCCTAAGAGCATAGCTGCCTGATATACAGAGCCAATTGCATCCGTTACATGTAAGTGGTCTGATTTTAAGCTATTGTACTATTGAAGTATTTTTACCATGTGCACTATATTTTTATTCTTCTGTTTTTCATGTATTGAATTTCGTACTGTATATACCTGTTTCAAACGGGGGTAAGTCATTCCTCATATTCTTGTACTTTAGCGCTCCACTATAGGTACAAGTGTATCTTTTGTGTGTCATTTGAATTTAGATGCCTCAAAAACAATTAGAACATTTCTGCAGGTCCGTCACAAATGAAAAATAAGTCATCTATATTTCGATAATATTCGATCTCCAAGCATGCTCCTCCAAATGGCAGTGGACTCCCAGAGATTGGCATTAGCTAACCTGTGGTTCCCATTTCTTTTTTTAAATAAAACAAGTCTAAAAATGTAAGTTTTTAATATTGGTTAAAATAAAATTGATGCCTTTATTTTTCTATTTGTTGATCTATAATAATGTTTTCTTGTGTCAGTATCTTCTGTATCGCTAGATGGGGGAAAATTAGTGGGGACAAATTGTGTATAGGGATTGCACGTCATATTACTAGGATATAGTTTGGGTTCCACACCATTTCATCTAGAGACTGACTTAAAGACATGGAATCTTTTAAGTAAGACTTCATCTTCTTGAAGGAAGTCTGTAATAGGATACCCCATTGAGAATAAATTATTATATTCTTTCTTTATTTAACACTAAAAACAACAAAAAAGAACTCATTATACATTATACAATCTTTAACATGCATTTAACAGCAATATTACCTAAAAGATTGCATTTAAGCTCTAATATCACCATTTTGAGTTATTCATCAATACAAATTTTTACACACACAAAACAAAACAACAACAACAAAAAAACATTTAATACGCTCTCCCCCCCTCTGCCTCTCTATCTACCTATACCCTTCCTATTCGCATAAACCTTCCAGGGTTCCCAGACCTTACCAAACATATAATAAGAATGTCTTACTCTAGATGATAATTCATCCATTATATAATTTTCTTGAATCTTTAATTCCACCTCTCTCATTGATGGTAAATCCAGATTTATCCAGCTAGCGGCTATACATCTACGTGCGGCCAATAAAATTAAAAATATTAATTTCTGCGAATGGCAGGGTATACCTGCTATTGATTTCGATAGCAAAAATATCCAAGGATTGAGTTCTATATTTCCCTGTATTATCACTTGAATTAGCTCCCTTATTTCCTCCCAATAGCTTTTAATCTTTGGGCAATCCCACCACATGTGTAAATATGTCCCTTGTAAACCACATCCCCTCCAACAAAGATCCGTCAGATTTTTACCTATTTTGTACAAAAAAACAGGGGTCACATGCCACCTAAATAATATCTTAAACATTTGTTCCTGCGAGATTACACAAATCGATATTTTGGATGCTGTTTCCCAGATATCTATCCAATCCTTAGTTTCCAAAGAAGAACCTAAATCTGCCTCCCAGTAGGATATATACTTTAATGGAGCCCAAAGCGTAGGTTCCTCACTTAGTTGATTATACAAATCAGAGATAAGACCTCCCTTTAACCTACCTATTTTGCACATTTTTTCAAAATTAGTGAAGGGGAATTTAACTGCCGTTTTTACCTCCATTGAATACGCAAAATCTCTAATCTGCAAATAACGAAAAAAATCTCCTGTCCTCAGTTCTACTCTGGTCAACAAACTAGAAAATAAAACTACCTCTCCTTCTGACCAAAGATCTACACATCTATAGATTCCTCCTGCCTTTAAGCCTTGAAAATTGTGTTCTTCCATACCAGGAATAAATTGTCTATTCCGAAAAACAGGGGTCATGGGTGAAGGGAAATTAGTTAGACCGTATTTTAACTTAAGTTTATCCCAAATGTGGAGGGAGTTTGCCGTAGAAGGGCATATTTGTTTCAACCCTGGTCTTGAAACCTTATTCAACCACATATACAACCCTGGCGAGTCTGGTGTCATTAAATCTTCCTCCATATCCGCCCATCTGTATTTCCCTTGATTTGCATGCCAACCAACAATTTGAGCCAATTGGGCTGCGCAATAGTAAATAATTAAATTGGGGAGACCTAGTCCCCCTTTAACTCTCGGTCTATACAAGAGAGTTCTAGCTATCCTATGTCGCTTGCCCTGCCAAATAAATGTGTCTATAGCTTTCTGAATACCCAATAAGTCCTCTTTACAGACCTTTATAGGCAATGCTTGAAATAGAAATAAAAGCCTCCGTAAAATATTCATTTTTATAGAATGAATTCTGCCAATCCATGAAATTGGCTTATCATGCCAATTCCCTAGGTCCTTTTTCAAAGTCTTAATCAAAGGTACATAGTTGTCATTAAATAATGTATTATAATCGTATCCAATTTTAACACCCAAATAGCTTAGAGATTTATCGATACTCATATCAAATTTAGTTTTTAGCTGGTCTTGTTCTATCTCAGATAAATGAAAAGGCACTCCACACGATTTATTATAATTTACCTTATAGCCTGAAATGGCTCCAAATTGTTCTATCAACTTAAACAATTCAGGGATAGATTCAGAAGGGTTTGCTATAGAGATTAAAATATCATCAGCATAAGCCGCTGTTTTATAAATCTCCCTCCCTATTTGAATACCCTGTATATTGCCACTTCCCCTGATATGGATCAGAAGGGGTTCCAATATAAGTGCAAACAAAATAGGAGAGAGAGGGCATCCTTGACGTGTACCATTGTATATTCCAAACGGAGTATTAACTGAGCCAGGGAGCTGTATTGTTGCTTGGGGATTTGAATATAATGCACGGATTATAGTAATGCAATTGACTGGAAAGCCCCAATATTGAAGCAAATAAAATAGATAAGGCCTATCAAATGCCTTTTCTGCATCTAATGATAAAAGTATTGATGGTGTCTTCCCTACTGCCATAACCCAAGCAACATTAACTGCTCTATGTGTATTCTCATACAGCTGTCTACCTGGAACGAAACCTACCTGATCTGGATGAATCAGAAAAGGAAGTAGGGGAGAGAATCTCAGGGCAAGGACTTTAGCTATTATTTTTATATCAACATTTATTAATGATATAGGCCTATAATTTCCCACTGAAGAAGGGTCCTTATCTTTTTTTGGTCAAAGAACAATTTTAGCCATTGTAAGGTCGGCTGGAAGAACTCCGCTTTGACAAATTTCATCTATGACCTCTTGTAAATATGGCATAAGAGTGTGTTGAAATATTTTATAATAACTACTACTAAAGCCATCTGGCCCTGGTGCTTTACCCCCCTTAATAGAAAAAACAAAAACAAACAAACAAACAAAAAAAACAAAAAACAAACACAACCATATATACATATATACACAATAAACACCTCCTGGACTTACCCAATGCCAGGAGTTAATTAGGGGGCACAGTTTTCCCAGGTCTACTTCGGCCTTGGGATAAACTGCAACTACTCCCATCAACCTGAAACCTAGATTTTTAAACGAATACTAGCAACCTGATTTTTCTTAACATAACATGGGTCCTCTTACACTTCCCTAAACGCCTCCTTAACACATATGAGCTGTCCTCGGACCCTATACAAAACCATTCAAAAACCAAAAAACTCCATATTATCCTATAATACAACATTTTTACTGCTGAATTACTATTGAGATTTTATTTTTTATTTTTATCAAACGCATCATTTATAAAATACATACACCTATATAATATGCTTATTTCTTCTCATATATATGCCTTACTATATTATTCCATGTATACCAATATGCAATAACTTAATCCCTTCACTTCCTTATTCTCCCCTTCACAATCACCATCAGTATATCACATTATATCCCACTTCCCCCCAACAAAAGAGGGAGGAAAAAAAAAAAAATAGATTAGCCTAAATAAATGAAAATGTATGTCCTTTTAAGTTTGATTCTCTCTCGCATCAAACCATTCTCTGGGTAAAGTTGGTAATGGGGTCTTTTGTTGAAATAATGGTATTACTCCCTCTGGTGTATCCAGGCCCATTGTCTGAAAAAATCTACTTGGATCCCCCGTTGGTAATAAAGCTCTGGTTTGTTCATTATGAAAAGCGAGAAGTTTAAAAGGATGGCCCCATGCAAAGGGAATGTGATTAAGTCTCAGATGATCTGCAATCGGCTTCCATTGCCTTCTCTTTAAAAGAGTAGATGGTGAAAGATCTTGAAAAATCTGAAGCACCTTTTCTCTGTAAATAACCTCCATCCCCCTACATTTGCGCACTACAGCGTCTTTGGTGCTATGGTAATGAAATCTTACGATTATATCTCGGGGTCGTTCATCATTCCTTCGTGGACAACCTGACAAACGGTGCGCCCTGTCAATTTCCCATCTGGGTTCAGGAATGTCTGGTAGTAAGGGTCTAAAGATTTCTAAAACCAAATTCTGTACCGGACCCTCATCTCTTGTTTCCGGTATCCCTCTAATTTTAATATTATTACGTCGGGATCGATTTATAAGATCCTCAAATGCCACTTCTAAAGCGTCAAGCCTTGTGCCCCATTCCGAGCTCTGGATTAATAAATCCTCACCTCTAGGACGGCAGTCCGATTACCAATTGCCTGGATCTCTAATCTTATTTCCTTAGCATTTCTCTCAGTCTCTCCGGCTAAAAAAATTCTATCCTCTTTCATTTGTGCCAATATACATTGTATGCCGTCTAATCCTGATGTCCGCATAATAGGTATAGAAATGTTAGCTGTATCAATAGGTAACATTTTACCTGATCCTCCCTCTCCCAGGTCTGGATGGGTCTGGTCTAGATGGTCTGACTGGATCTCGTGGCTATCCCCATTTTTCCTGCCTTCCAGGCTGTTTGTTGTATCCTGGCAATTATTCACCATGTCAGTGCTATTCGCAGCTCCTGAAACTGCTCGTTTTGTGGATTTTGCAGCGTTTTCATTTACATCCGCAGATTTCGCTGGCTGAAACATGGAGTGCATAGAATGTATAGTGCTGCTCCTAGACTTCGGCTTAGATCCCTTCCGTAAAGATTTCATCAGTAGCAAGCCCAGGAAGGGGTATAATACCACTTTTTTTTCCCCCTTTTCAAAAAACCCAAAGCAAAAAAAAAAAAAAAATCCTCCTCGTTAGAGATCTGCTAAAACGCTGCCCCGTTACACTGTTACAACAATATATGCCAATATGTAACAGTATGTAACAATATGTAACAGTGTACCAATATGTAATATGCAATGCGTAGCTGTATAGCAGTACTTTATCTATAATTCACCCGCAGAGTAGAGGAAGATTAGGGGAGAGATTGAGTAATTGAGGTGAGTAAAATAGAGAATATAAACTGATATAATATAGCAGGTAGAACAGGTATATTACAGGTATATTACCAGCTACCCAGCTATCTAGCAGTCTATCCGGCTATCTGACCGGCTGTGCATACAGCTGCTCCTCGTCAGACGGATAATTGAAAACTTCACCGGCTCAAATTAATTTTAAATGCTGAAGGGATCAAAAAAAAAAATAAGAGAGACAATATAGTATGCTGGATTTTCAATTTTTCAAAAAAAAACCTTCGATGTCCAGATCAGGTTGTTTTCAGAGGCTTCTGTGGCTTCAGTGAAGGGAGCTCTCTGCCTGAACGTCTACCTACATTGATGGTCAGACGATTAAACGATCAAACGATCAGACCACACCCCCCCCTATTAAAAAAAACTAAAATAAGGTAAAGTTCTACCAGGCACCAGCCTGCACATGATAAGGTCCCTGATCATGGTACCCTGTGCATGTGCTTATGATCACAGTACCTTGGTTGTGTTAGATAAGGAAACAAGGTTTTAAATACAGACTTAGGCGATAGTTGGAGAAAATCCATTTACACATAGTATCTCTGACGTGTCAACAACCACTGCATCCATATTGACATATAGCTGTGACCTTCCAATTTCACTGAACACCAGCTCCTCCACTGAATGCAACTCCTCCATACAAGAGTACTAGAGCACCAAAAGGATTGGGTTGCCTCCAAAATAGTGGAATATGTGAGACTTCTCAAAGTTAAATCGCAGATTTGAGAGTGTGCCATATTCCTCAAACTCTGAAATAACATGCAGCAGGAAAACCAAGGGATTCAACACATAAAACAAAAGGTCATCTACTTACAGTCTAGATTTTCAAGAATGGCAGTGAGGAACAACTCGAGGGCAAGGTTGAAGAGCATCGGCAAAAGAGTGAGCCGTTGCTTCATTCCATTGTGTGTATCAAAAGGCTCAGTGAAAGAGCCAATTACACATACACATGTAGAAGGAGAGGCGTATAATGCCTGTATCCATTGTAACATTTGTTGTAAAGTGGCAAATAAGAAGGCCCAGTTCACTCTGTCAAAGGCCTTCTCATCCGTAGTTTGACGTATGAACGACAACGTTCTGATAGTGTTGTCTTGTACCCCTCTATGTGTAATAAAACCCACCAGGTGGGAATAATATTGATGTCGGCTTTTTGGGGATGGTACCCTAAGCAAGTTAAAACCCGTTAAAAACATGTGTATAGTATTTCTGAATAGCTCAGTGGGCTAATGCATCATCAGTAGAATCTTGTTCAACACTTGGGTCGCAGGTTCAAATCCTATCAGAGTTGACTCAGCCCTTTATCCTTCCTAGGTAGATAAAATAAAGTACCATTAAATTGGGTAATAGTAACAACCCCTGGCTAAGGTAACATCCCCAGGACATACTTGAAAACCAGAGTATTCTAAATGTACCTTTCCTGGTTAAATATTTTGTTATTATTTACCTGGTTTCGTAAACTTTGTGGCTGAGGACAGTTCCTCAACAGTGATGGGATCCTCTAAGAGTTGTGCATCATCAAATTATAATCTAGTTTGCGTGTGGTCTTTGAGATTATCAGTTATCAGTGCGTCCAAGGTTTCCCTCTCAGTCTATATGGTAAGGGCATACAGGGATGAATAATAATCATGGGTGACCTCTGTAATTCTGTTATTTTGTGGGTCTTTAAAATTATAAACAATAAAGAGGAGAGAGATTCTGTCCCTGAGATAAAAATCTAGAAGATACTTTATTAATCTAATACAAAAGACATTCCTAAAATAGACTACCTCTCTGGCTCTAATGTGATACTAGTGGGTGTCAAAAACTAGACAGACCAAAAGACCATCAATAGGAGATAGAATGGTCAAGGGAGGGCTTGTATTATCATACCCAAGAGCTGGAGAGGCATGTTGAGCAGAGAGTTAGATTAGCAATTTGATGTAACATGGTTCTATAGATTAGTGTGGTCCGCTATCCTAGACAAAACTAATTGATCTACTTAACATTATATTGTTAATCACAGGTTAAGTTTGGAATATTGTTTGGTTTCTGATGAGGTTTGGAGACCTTTCTCCTCTTGCCAGTGTCTTTATTTCTGCAATTATAGGCAGGTCTTGTTCAGGAGGATATAAGTACTTGTTTCTCCTCATTGGACTACCAGAAAGGGATTTGCTTCCCTCCCTGGAATATGTTCCACATTTTATATTATATTTTGGAATTATAACGATTGAGGGAGGGGAGAGGAGAGATTTGTACGATTATAACTAAGAGTTGTAAAATATGTTAAGTAGAGTTAGATCAGTAATTTGCTGTGATATGGCCTTATGGGCTAGTGTGGTCCTATATTCTAGACAAAGTTAATAGATCTACGGATTGATATATGATTGATTACAGGCTGGATATTTGGAATGCCGTTTGGTTTCTGATGAGTTTGGAGGCCTTCCACCTCTAGCCAGGGTCTTCATTCCTGCAACTATAGGCAGGTTTCGTTCAGGGGGCTACATACATACATATATATATATATATATATATATATATATATATATATATATTTCTCCCCACTGGATTACCAGGAGGGGGTTTGTTCCCTTTCCTGAAATACCTTATGTGTTTTATTATGTAAATTATGTAAAGGTTTTTTTTGTTTTTTCTGAGACTCGACATGGGGTGCAATCAGGACAATAGGTGCTATGACGGTACTTAATGTGGTATCATGGAATGTTCAGGGTTTGATATCACCACAGAAAAGGGGAGCAGTCTACAAATTTTTAAATGAAAATGATATAGACATTGCCTTTATTCAGGAGACACATTGGATCAACCCTCTGAAGAGACTCTGGAAGTTTAAGAAATTCCCGTTTATATTTTCTTCAAATATGGAGGGGAGTTAAAAAAAAAAAAATAATGAGGCACTGCTATCATAATTTCCAGCAGAATTAACTTTGAAATGATATATCTAACTGGGGACCGAATAGGAAGATATGTGAAACTCATTTCAAAAATTGATGGCATTATCTATACTTTGGTCAATATTTATGCACCAAATTCTTGCCCGAGGGACTTTTTGGATGAAATCATGGAAAAAGTTGATGAATTAGCATGTGGCAACATTATAATTGGGGGAGATTTTAATTGCGTATTGAACCCAACAAGGGACAAAAGTCATAAAAATACTTGAGATCACAAATCTGTAAATACCTATGTATCCGATATTTTGGAATTTCAAGACAGGAATTCTCTATTTGACTGTTGGAGGACTTTGAATCCTAGTGAGAGAGACTATACTTTTTTTTCACATGTCCATCAGACCTATTCTCGAATAGATATGTTTCTCGTGAAAGCCGGGTTTGTAAGATCAATTATTAAATCTAAAATTGGATCTATAGTTGTGTCGGACCATGCACCAGTATTCATCAAGGTTAAGTTAAAAGGTGGTCTTAGACCAAGGACAAGGTGGAGACTTAACTAAACTCTTCTGAAATCAGAGTAACATTGATTTTTTTTGTCATCTGAAATTGAAAACTTTTTGTCTATTAACGATAATGGGGAAGTCCCCACACCAATGGTATGATGCACCTTTAAAAGTTTTATAAGGGGATTATTGATTAAACTTGGTTCTGAATATATAAGGAAGAAGGGAGAATCTATGCAATAGTTAAGAATAAAATTGGCAAATAAGTAACGTTTAAATAAAAATATGGCGAACGAGGGCTTAATTGAAGAAATAGCTAATTTAAGGGAAATTATCAAAGATAGAATTTATGATATGTCAATAAAAATATATTTCTTAAGCAAAGATGGTACCATAATAACAATAAAATAAATAAAGATCTTTCTAATAAAATCAAGAATAACCTTAAAGGACCACTCTAGGCACCCAGACCACTTCAGCTTAATGAAGTGGTCTGGGTGCCAGGTCCAGCTAGGGTTAACCCATTCTTTCATAAACATAGCAGTTTCAGAGAAACTGCTATGTTTATGAATGGGTTAAGCCTTCCCCTGTTTCCTCTAGTGGCTGTCTCATTGACAGCCACTAGAGGCGCCTGCGTGCTTCTCACTGTGATTTTCACAGTGAGAGCACGCCAGCGTCCATAGGAAAGCATTATGAATGCTTTCCTATGTGACCGGCTGAATGCGCGCGCAGCTCTTGCCACGCGTGCGCATTCAGCCGACGGGGAGGAACGGAGGAGGATCGGAGGAGGAGAGCTCTCCGCCCAGCGCTGGAAAAAGGGCGGGAGTATGTTTTCCTGGCACTATAGTGGTCCTTTAAAGATAAATCTATAAAAAAATAAAATAATTGTTTTAGGGGATAAACATTTAACGTCACCAAATTACATTGCAAATGCCTTCGCGGAATTCTATAGATCCCTATATAATCTAGAGGAGGTAGGGAAGAGTAGAGAAGAAATGGATAAATTCTTGAGTAATCTTAAACTACCAAAAATTAATCAAAGGAAGTTGGAAATGTTAAATGCTCCATTTTTATTATCAGAAGTAACCAAAGCAATAGATAACTTAAAACTGAATAAGGCACCGGGCCCCGATGATTTTTCCGCAATCTTCTATAAAACCTTTTCTAGATTTATTTCCCCTATCCTTTTAGAGATGTTTGCGAAGGTATCCGTAAATACCCCCTTCCCCAA